CTGGTAGAACCGCTTCTCTCATTCAATCTACCTCATACCATCATTGCGTCACCTGAAGAATTCCCACCAACTTTTCTACGAGATTCTTCCGTAAGCAACATAGATCTTTAGTATTGCTCAAATTCATTATCAAACTATCCCAAGAGTCTGGAATAGAGCAAAGCAAAAGAGCAACCTTTTCTTTGTCCTCAATACGTACCTCTACAACTACTAATTTGCTTACTAGAGTGTTGAACTCATTCAAGTGTACTTGCAAAGAGGCTCCGTCCTTCATCCTCAGATTGTAGAGTTATCGTCGGAGAAAGATTTTGTTGGACATCGATTTCCCCTCGTAGAGATTCCGCAACTTGTCCCATAAACCTTTGACAGTGGTTTCCTCGGACACATTGAATAGAACTGGATCTTCTAAAGCAAGAAGAATATCATCCATGGCTATCTGGTTTTTCTTCTCAAAATCTTCGTCTTTCATATCAGCAGGCTTCTTCTCTTTTCCTTCTAAGGCAATTGCACAATCTTCTTTCACCAACATAGCATGCATCTTCAGCTTCCAAATTGCATAATTGGATCCGTTGAATTTCGGTATATCGAACTGGGTAGAGCTCGAACTCGCCATATTCAACATGTGTATACCGGAACAACAAATACAGATTTCGGCAGAATCCTAGAACAGAACCGTGTGGCTCTGATACCAATTGTTGGAATTGCACAACGGAAATAATGTAATCTATACGTGCACAGAAACAGAATGAAAGCATATAGCAATAAATAAAGAAAGAAAATAGAACACCAGATTTACGTGGTCCGGCCAAATTGCCTACGTCCACGGGTAGCAACTCGGAGCTTCCTTCTTACTATAAATAGGAGAAAATACAAAGTGACATCTTCGAAATCACACCTGTACCCGACACTCAATACACCCAACTCAATACTCCTCTCAACTCACTTTATACACTATACACTGAAATGAAATGGAGAATGGAATGGGAAATAACATAGGAGGGACCACTATTTATACTTGAGCTGAGGGGTATAATGGGGATTTAAGAAAATTTTCTTCATGGTTAAGCAAACCATAATCTGTGGTTTGCAAATGGTGTGCCACCGAATAAATGGTGGGCTCAACTCGGTGGGCCACCGATTGCAAATTCGGTGAGCCACCGACTGTCCCACCTTTTTGCTTTTCAACACCAATTTTGCTACTGGAGCGAAAGTGTCATGATAGTCAAGACCTTCAACCTGAGTGTGTCCTTTTGCTACAAGATGAGCCTTGAAGCGCTCAATAGTACCATCAACTTTGTACTTTATTTTATAGACCCATTTGGAGCCAATGGGACGCTTTCCTGTAGGAAGAGATATAATTTTCCATGTGTTGTTACGCTCTAGAACTGCTATTTCATCAGTCATAGATTGGCGCCAACAAGGATCTTGGGCTGCTTGAGCATAGGATTTTGGTTCAACATCCAAAAAAATATGGTTTTATTTGCCAATGGAGAGTGGGAGGTCACATACATAATCATTGAACCGACTTGGGGCTGTGGGATGGTGGCAAGGACGAGGGATATGTATTGGGACTGAAATGGGAGCTTGGACTGGCTCACAAGTTTGGGTGTTGGGCTGATCAATAGGCCCATGGTCTTGTGATGGGTTAAGGACCGATTCAGTAGGTGAACCATTATTTGTGGTTGGGCCTAGATATTCAAGATCATATGGGTTTGGTGGTAATGGCATAACGGTAGTTGGGCCAGAATCTTGGAAGGGAAGTGGACTAGTCTTGTAAGGAAATTTTGTTTCATAAAAAACAACATCTCTACTAGTGAAGATCCCTTGGGTTTCAAGACTATAGACCCGATAATCCTTTTGTTCATGTGGGTAGCCCACAAAAATGCAAGGTTCAGCTCTGGCAGCAAATTTGTCCAAAGGTTTAGAAATTACTTGGGCGTAGCAAAGGCATCTGAACACCCGGAGGTGATCATATGAGGGTTTCTTGTGAAACAAGGCTTCGTAGGGAGAAATGTTGGACAATATTAGTGTAGGGAGTAAATTGATAAGATATGTAGCAGTAAGTAAACATTCACCCCAGAATAAATTGGGTAAGAACCCTTGAAATTTCAGGGCTCTGGCCATTTCTAGTAAATGGCGATGTTTCCTCTCAACCACCCCATTTTGTTGGGGTGTGGCAACGCATGAGCTTTGGTGAAGAATACCTTGGTTGCTAAAATATTTCTGCACAGGTCCAGAAGTGAACTCAGAACCATTGTCAAATCGAACAAATTTTACACGAGCATTAAATTGCCGAGTAACCATGGTGCAAAATTCCATAAGATGAATACTAGCCTCTGATTTATTTTTAAGCAGATAGGTCCATGTACAATGTGTATTGTCATCAACAATAGTGAGGAAATACCGAGCACCGGAATGTGAAGGAGTTTTGTAGCCTCCCCAAATATCACAGTGAATAAAAAAAAATGGAGAAGGGCTACGTGTATTACTAATAGGGAAAGGAATCCGAATTTGCTTGGCCATATGGCAAGTATCATAATACTTGTCTAAACTAGAAGTAGATATGTATGAGTTCCATGCGGGATCGTGAAGTATGGCCTAACCATTGATGCCATAGTTCAGGACTGATGGGAGCAGTGGAAGAGTTAACAACCATTGGTGGTGGAGAAAAAATGAAGTGGTACAACCCGTGCTGAAGTCTACCCATCCCAATCATAGTTGTTAAGTGCGGGTCCTGAAGTGTGCAAGCAGAAGGAGAAAAAATAGCTACACAATTTAGTTGTTGTGTAATCTTGCTCAGGATAAGAGGTTGCAATGAAATGTTGGAACGAATAAAACATCATGTAAGGTACAAGAACCCATAAAAATGGAACCACGACAAGTAGCATAAGTGACTGAGCCATTTGAAAGACGTACAGAAGTATGGACAGCTTCAGAAACATGGAAATAGGATGGTGAAGAAACCATGTGGTCAGATGCACTACTATCCATGATCCATTCTATTGATGTTTCAAAAGACTTACTAGCAGTGGTGTTGGCAGCAAATTTAGAGGTTTCACGATTTAAGAGAGACATGAGTTGAGAATATTGGTGCATGGTAAGACCTACTATTGAAGAAGATTCATTTACGGGAGCCATGGGACTTGTATCAATTGATGCACAAGAGACTGACTTGTTAGCACCTGAGGTATTAACTTGCTGTGAAGGAATTTTCTCATTCTTGTGCCGATTCCAATGGGTTGGATATCCATTGAGCACATAGCACCAATCTTTTGTATGCCCTGTGTGCTTACAATGGTCACAATAAAATTTTGATCGATTGTTTCCATTGTTGGAACCATTTGCAACTAGTGCGACAACTTCTGGTTGCAGTGGCTATGGGGAAACTACGATCTGATGTCGCTCTTCCTGGGTGACAAGCGTGTACACCTTGTTGAGGGATGGTAATGGCTCTATTCCTAGAATACTTGAGCGAATTCTATTAAACCGGTCATTCAGTCCCATGAGAAATTGGTGTATTTTTTCCTTTTCACGTTCAGCAGCATAGAACTTTGCTGTTCCACAGGTACATTTTGGAAGAACTGTGAAGACATTGAGTTCGTCCCACAATGTCTTCAATTTGGTGAAATAACCAATTACAGATGAATCTCCTTGCTGAAGTAAAGCAAGGTCGCATTTCAGTTGGTGAATTCGGGGAATATTGCCCTAAGAATACCTCTCTTAGAGTTCCTTCCATATATCTATTGTTAACTCAATGAAAGCAACGCTGGTTAGGGAGTTAAAAATCCACGCCACTACCATGGCATTGCATTTTATACAAGCATTGAGATCGGGATCACTGGCAGTAAGTCGTGGTAGAGATCCATTGATGAAGCCGATTTTGTTCTCTGTTTTGAGTGCATTGGTCATCCCTCGCTGCCACAACGAGATGTTATCTCTGTTGAGTGGAGATGAAACTAGTATGGCACCTGGATTGTCGGATGGATGAAGAAAGTATGGAGAGTTAACTCCGATCTCCATTCTTGAAAAATAGGTATCGAATTCTTGAAGAATACTTGAAGAATACTTGAAGAACAGGATCTAATTCTTGAGAAACAGAAAGAAAACAGATGAACGTTACGGCGGAAGAACAATTGAAGAACAGGATCTAATTCTTGAGAAACAGAAGAAAACAAAGGAACGTCACGGCGGATGAACAAGCGGATCACCGCTCTGATACCATGAAGGCAGGTATCGAATGAGAAGAAAGTCTTTTCTCTCTCTTGTATTAAATTAAATGGGAGGATTACAGATATATATGTGTGTGTGTGTGTTCAGTCGGTTATAATTGAGGATGTACAGTTGGCAAGATACAACTGTCCTAACGAGTATGAGAATGAGAATTGGAATCAACAGGAATGTGATTTAATTTGTAAGGGAGAGACAAGGAACTAGCAAGAATGAGAATGAGATTCTGATTCCACTCAACCAAACAGTGGGAAACGAATAATCCACTCCGTTTCTCATTTCAGACCCCTATTCCGGCGAAGCAAACTGAGGCTGATATTTGCTTGGAGAGTATGAACGATTACCTGGATATACTTCTTGTGAGTACAAAAGGGGAAAATATGATCCTGCTTCAGTCTGTGAAAGAAGTATAAATATAGGAAGAAGGTACCCAAAATCCAGATCTATAAATATAGGAAGAAGTATAAATTAGGGCTTTGCCTATCCGCAGCCTCTGAAGAACTCTACCTAAAAATAAAACAACGTGACTACCCATTGCCCATTGGAAAATCAAACGGTCCAAACCTCTCTGAAGATAGCTAGTGACTAGTGAAGGCTCCTACCGTTGGAATGCCAAAAGTTTCAAACGTTTGAGATGGGCAAAGGTCACTTGCGAAGTTGCGATAGAAATAACGGGAGATGATTTGGAAGACCAAACGTCTATGCTGCTGATTGGTTAATTTCTGAAACGACGTGGATTCAAGATGAGTTCTGGGTGGTCAACTGGTTACTGGTTACTCCCAGAATAAGAAAGTCTCATCCATTTGTAATCCGAAGTTGGCTGCAGTAGGCGACATCAAAGATGAAGAGAAGTCAAATATGTTTGGAGTAGTGGTGTGGTCGAGGACTAAATCAGGCAGGTCGAACAGTAAGTCTTCGTCTGTGGATGGAAACATTGAGAATTCTCCTCGGGTGTCATCCGACGTGATGATGGGAGTTGGGGAATTTGAAATTGGAAATTCTGATTGGCTCCGCTCGCCTTGGTCTTCGGTTTCAACTTCGCAACTTGCTGGTTGCTTGTCGAATGCGGCTGCGGCTGCTTTGGCAGCAGCGGCCTGGATGTCTTTGTGCGATAAGCTGGCCGGACGGGGAAGCTCATGAGCCAGCTCAGGGAAATTGAGGAAAGCTGAATTGCCTTTGATAGCGAGTGCAGCAACATCATGGGCTCGGGCGGCCATCTCTGGAGTGGGGAGTGTTCCAAGCCATATTCTTGATTTCTTTCTTGTTTCATGGATTTCCGACACCCATTTACCCCAACTACGCATCCTCACTCCACGATAACTAGGGTGATTCCCGTCGTTACTGCTGTTCTTCTACCGCCTCCTAGTTTCATTCCAAGTTTTCACTTCTTAGACTACTTCCTTTGAAATCCTCGGAGTTATTTTCAATTCCGCAAAGGAGTTTAGACCCAAAAATATCGTAGTAGAAGTGGGGAGGGCTTAGGACTTTGGACTTTGGAGAAAGCAAGAGAGAATTATGTGAGAAGTGGCAAAAACATAAAGAGAAATTCGGCTTTTATTATTCGTCAATGAATTGGAGGGATAAAATAAGAAAACAAATAAATTAATAAGATGGGCCCCTGGGGCCTTGGCACAAAGAGGGAGCTCCAGCTCTTTTTCACCCGTCTTGTTTTAACTTTTTTTTTCATCAATGATACACATCTTAGACGTAAAATTTTTTAGGCTGCGTTTGGCGTGTCTTTTTGTGCGGTTTTTTGGTTGTTTACAAGTTGGGAAGACCAATTTTTGGTCTATTTTTATTTGGCGTACAAAAGATTTAGCCGCCAAAAGATGGAACACCAAAAAGATGCGAAAAGCCCATTTTGGGCTGATTTCGGGAAGCTCCAAATGAAACTTCTCGTGTCTTTTGCGTTTTATTATGGCACGCAAGGTTCAAAATATTGATACGCCGATAGGGGCGTATCGGGTGAATCGATACACATTTTGGAGTTGTTTTTTTTTTTTGTATATTTTCTTCGCAATTGGTTTAGGGAGCCGGTTTAGGTCTCCTCTACCCCCTAAACCGGTCAGACCTCCGATACTCTCACTGTAGGGGTGTATTGGAGGGGTCCCGGAACGATACGTATTGGCCGATACGGGCTGATATGTGTTGATACTTTGAAAAGATGCGGAAAGACGCACGGCAAGATGTGCGTCTGCCAAACGTGCTTCGGGCTGCTCAGATCTTCATGTAAAAGCTCAATGCGTCTTTTGATTGTCAGAGCTACCAAAAAATCTTCCCAAAAAGATCCACCAAATAGGCCCTTAGTTTTTTTCCATCTTTAGTTTCTTGCAATGGCTTATTGGAGTGCAATTCGGTCTGACCCAACCAGAGTCTGATTCAATTATATATAAAATTGATTGATTAACCGAATTCGGCTCGAGCTGAAGTCCAATCCGAGTGCATGAAATTTCGATGCAGACTGAGCCCGGGTTGGAAAGATCAAGATTGACCTCAGGCTTGAGCCTTAGGTATAAATCCTATGGTTGGGCCCAGGTTGACCATAAATCCGGCCCAACTTACCCGACTTGCACCCTTACAAGTAGTTAGAAGTAAGAACATGTTTAGGGGTGTCAATGGGTCAGGTTAAATAGCACCTCGACATGACATGATAGGGTGGGTTAGGGTTTTGATTCTTTGACCCAAGCGTAGTTTGACTTTGGTTGCCCCGTAGGGTCATAATGCCCGTAGAGCTGTCAAAATGGGTTTAGGGGTGTCAATGGGTCATGTTAAATAGCACCTCAACATGACATGATAGGGTGGGTTAGGGTTTTGATTCTTTGACCCAAGCCTAGTTTGACTTTGGTTGCCCCGTAGGGTCATAATGCCCGTAGAGCTGTCAAAATGGGTCGGGTTTGACTTGGTTCTTGTTTTTTCATCCCAATTATTATCGGGTCATGATTGGTTCTACCTTGTTCCAATATCATGTAAAATATTTTTAGAATGTTGTTTATTATAATTGGGTCCATTGGGTCAAATCTGATAGACCCGAGAACTGATTGGTTGGGTTTTGGGACCTTAACATATCTTGTCTGTTCAGGACTGGTTCTACCATGTCCCGACCCATTGACCGTCCTATATACAAGTATTCTTGTATTATTCTATGACTTCTAACTCTTTAGTCGTGAATTTTGGGATTTTTTCCTGTTTATTTTGGTTTTTATTCTTTGTGGCAGTTTAAAACCTAAAAATCAAATCTCTCTCTCTCTCTCTCTATATATATATATATATTAATACGATTGGGGTGCTCTCTCCTTGTACGAAATGGAATCTACTCGTGCAAGTAGATTCCCACGTGAGAACATCCTATTATAAATTACTGTTATTATTATAACAGTAATTACTAATTATTATAGTAATTAATTACAGTAATTTAATAAATATATATTTAGTGATTATAATTAATAAGTATTGTTATTATAAATATTGTTAATAACTACATATTTACTTTAAAATTATAAATACTGTTATTAAAAAAATATTATTAATAAATTACTGACTATTACAGTAATTAAATAAATATATAATTAGTGGTTATAATTAATAATTACTGTTATTATAAATATTGTTAATAAATAGATATTTACTTTAAATTAAAATTATAAATATTTTTATTAATAAATACTGTTAATAAATTCAAAAATAATTAAAAGTATTGTTATTGATTATTTAATAAACTATTATAATTACTATTACTAATAAATACTGTTAATTTAATTTAATTTTGGTAATTATTAATTTAATGAATATTGTTAATAAATCCTATTCATAAATTTAATATTTACTGTTATATTAAAATAACTGAATAATATTATTAAAACTATCATTAATGATTATTTAATTAAATAGTATAATTACTTACTATTATTGATAAGTGTTGTTAATAACGTTCTGACAACCAATGGTTCGACCATCCAGTTCGAACGGATGGCCCGTTCTGACAACAAAAATTACAAGCAAAGAATTACAGAACCATTCTGGCCACTGGTTTTTCGGTCGATGATTCGATCATCCGGTTCCAACAGACGGTCCGTTCTGACAACAAAAATTATAGGCAAAAAATTGAATTTGTAATGTCCATTAAATAGTATCATACGTGTTATGTCATTCGAGCGTGTGGCTTATATGACCCGAAAATGGAACCGTTCTGACCACTGGTTTTTGGGTCGACGGTTCGACTGTTCGGTTCGAACGAATGGCCCTTTCTAGCAACAAAAAATAGCAATCAAAAAATTATGGAACCATTCTGGCCACTAGATTTCAGGTCGACGGTTCAATCATCCAGTTCGAACGAGCCACCCATTCTGACAACAAAAATTACAGGAAAAAAATTGAGTGTGTGAAGTCCATTAGGTAATATCATATGTGTTATGTCATTCGAGCATGTCACTCATACAACCCGAAAATGGAACTGTTCTGGCCACCGGTTTTCAGGTTGATGGTTCGACTGTTCGGTTCGAACGGACGGCCCGTTCTAACAACAAAAATAAAAAAATATAAAAAATGGATAAAAACCATTGAATGGGTCAATGGGTTAACGGTTCGACCACTCGGGTCAATGGGTTGTTTACTGATTCAACGGTTTTTGGCTAGGGACCGGGATTGGGGTAAAATGGAACTGGTTTCCTAGATGATACCCAATTAAAAAAAATGGATGACCCGTTCTAACAAAAAAATTACAAGCAAAAAATTGAGTGTCTGAGGTCCATTAGGCAGTACCATACGTGTTATGTCATTCGAGCGTGTGACTCATATGACCTGAAGACAAAACCGTTCTGGCCACCAATTTTTGGGTTGCCAGTTCAACTGTCCGATTCAACGGTTTTTGGATAAGGACCAAGATTAGGATAAAACGGAATCGATTGCTTGGATGGTTCCCAATAGAAAAAAATGGCCAAAAACCATTGAACGGGTCAACGGATCGATGGTTCGACCACTCGAGTCAATGGGTTTTTGAAGCCCACTCATCCCTAGATATACCAGCAGCCCGAAGCTCAACTTCAAGGTATACTTATGAATTTTCGTTCTTTATCTTTCTTGTTAAAAAGTTTATATCAACACCTTGATTTGGTCATGAAAGCAAAGCAAGAAAGTTGATGAGTTCAAATTTGCTGCGATGAGTGTGGCCCCCGAGTAAAACATGGACATCCCAGCCATAAATAGCAAGTTGTGAAGAAAAAAGGCTACTCTATATGACAGTAATGAAATGGATATATGCATCCCCTCCATCAATAACATATATAATTAAATGTCTAATATTGGTCTTAAAGAAACCAAACCATCCATGTCTTCCTTGTCCCCTTCTCCCTTTGGAAGCAGTTGGAGTTTCAATCTTTTTCTAAGAATGTGGGGTTTTCTTCCACACATGGTTGAAAGTTTCAATATGTACAAAATGCAACAAAAAAAAAGGAAAAGAAAAACAGAAAAAAAGTGCAAAGCACAATTTTTTTCTTTTTCTTTTTATTTTTGCATTTTACACATTTTTAAATTTGTTTCTTTATATTCTTTTTGGGTTGATATGTCTACAATATGAATGTATGGGGAGGGATTCCTTATGTTTAAACATAAAGGCAGCTCCAACACTAAATCTATCTATACTATATATAAAAGTGCAGGTGGAGTGAAAGTTTTTTTATTACTAAAATTACCCTCTATTGTTTTTTTTGTTTGAGAAAGGGTACAAAAATCATTTTATTACAGCTTTAATGCCAGTTTTGATGGTTACTAAAATGTCCATATTTGTGCATTTAGTCCATCTCTAATTATAAGGGTTCAAAATGTAATTTCAACTATTACTTTTCACTTCATTTAATATTCTCTCAATAAATCTTATAATTAAGGTATTAACTCTCTTTTCTCTTATTAAATCCTATATTTAATTTATTTTTCACTAATAAACGTTGTTAATTAGATCTATGCCAATATTTTTAACAATATAAGCTCATATATTTTAAAACTGACTGAAAAAACGAAATCATTTTTTATCCAAATGGTGGCTAAGCAATTTAACCATCCAAATCAAATTTATCAAACCTACGAAGTCATAGTTAGGTAAAAAAAATTAAAATAGATATAAATATTGAAAATTGCAAAAATGTAGAAAAAATTATAAACATTTATGATATTTTTATTAATTAATTTAAAAAAAATAATGTAATAATCAATAATTATTTTTGTT